CCCCACCCCGCAACCTGCCGGGCGGGGTTGATCTTCGCGCGCCCGCTGCAATGGCGGTTGCGGTTGCGGCGCGCATTTATAAATGCGCGCCGCAACCGCAACCGCCATTGTTTTTTCAATCTGATTTTCTCTTTCACGGCATACCTTCCCCCCCTTTCCGTGACTTTTTTTCGGGGAGCACAGGGGAGGGGCGGCCACCAATCAGGTGCGCTCACGATACATCTGACATCCCACCCCGCGAAGGCTATCACGCAGAAGGCCAGCTGCAGGCGCGCGGCCGAGTTCGCGTTAACCGATCGACACGCGTCTTGCAAGCGGTGCATAACCGATGCAAGCAAACATTTGTTATTTTCTGTTGTATTAAATTATCCTTAAAGACAAATCAAACATATGTGTATGTTCTAAAACAACGAATCAAAAATTGCGCGCCGCCGCGCGCGTCGGGACATGCGAAACAGTCGCGTTTGGAAATCCAGTAATGGCGCTTACGCGCGCCATCTAAAGTATGCTGAACGTTCGAAAACGCCAACATGCAGTGGCCGGCTGATTCAGCCAACATAGAACCTCAGGGAACCACCCCGCCACCGCGCCTCGCAGGGGCAGCCGTCGTGACGGATCCGGGCGCGGCGGCCTCCATGCCGCGCGCGGTTGCCCGTGGCCGACGGCGCCAGCACCCGGCCGCGACCGCCTGTGCCAGCTGCGTCGCCAGCAGCGCGATCACTGGCCCCCACGGCCCTGGCCCCTCCACGGGCTCGGGCCCGTCTGTGGCGGGGCAGCTCTCGCAGACCGCGAGCGCCGCTTCGCACCGGGCAAGCGCCCACGCTGGCGACCCCTTCGGGCCGCTGTCCGCCGAAACCGCCGACGGAGGCGGCGGGGGCGAGGGTGGCGCGGCCGGCGCCCGCACGTCCCTCACGACCTGCGCCAGCTCCAGCGCCAGCACCGCCCGGGCTGCGCCGGCGCCGCCGCGCGGGACCATCGGCCAGGCCGTTCCTGAGCAACTTGACCCTTAATGGCAAGGGGTAAACGATCGTAAACGACACAACTGTGCAACAGCTACATCACTACTGTACCCCAGCGCTCTCATCCTCATCCTCATCCTCATCCTCATCCTCATCCTCATCCTCATCACCATCATCAACATCATCATCATCATCATCATCATCATCATCAGCATCATCATCATCATCATCATCATCATCATCATCATCATCATCATCATCATCATCATCATCATCATCATCATCATCATCATCATCATCATCATCATCATCATCATCGTCATCATCATCATCATCATCATCATCATCACCATCCCCCTCCTCCTCCCCCCTCCTCCTACTCCTCCCCCTGCTGAATCCGCGGGCCAAGCAAACAAAACACGACAGGGGGATGTGCTCATTAAGTAGGAGTATGTTGACAAGCAAGTGGGAGGCCAAAGACCAACTGGGTGTCCGCGACAGGGCATACTCTCCTCCTTGTCCTCCTCCTTCTCCTCCTCCTCCTCCGCCTTTTGACGTTGGTCATGCATTGAACGAGATCCTCCTCCTCCTCCTCCTCCTCCTCCTCCTCCTCCTCCTCCTCTTCCTTCGTGGGAGGCGACAAGGTAGTATAGCAAAAAGTAGGCAGTAGCTGGTTTTCCTGGCGCCTCCTCCTGGCGCCCATGTGCCGAGGAATGGGCCTGGCGGCGGGGCCGAAACCAACTGCATGCTGCAGATTTCTTCCCCCCTCCCTTTCCCCTTTCCCTATCCTACCATTTCGTCCAGCCCGAGAGTTTTGGGGGGGGGGGGCGGAAAGGTGGGGCAGGGCACGTCTCTGTTGCGATGACCTTGGCGCCGATTTATGACACTGCGTCGACCTCGTTCAACCTCGAGCGATCGGCAGGTTTTCAATCGCCAGATCGTTCTACATTGGCCGCCGATTCTGGACCACTGGCGGTGTCCTACCTTGAACGCCTGCGCTATGGTGGTCGCGGCGTCGACACGAGGCATATCTACCATAGGGTCCGAAGTGGGGTCAGGGAACATCGTCCTGGACGGCCACTGGAACAAACATATAGGCCTCGAACTAGGTTCGCTTGCTGACCTCACCTTGGGCGACCCCGCCTCTACCCGCAAGTCGGAAGAAGTAGGTGGAAACATGAAGATGGAAGACGGAGTAAGTTAGAGTGGGTTCGGGCCCGCCCAAAAAATAACAAAACACAACAACATATCGATTCTTGAAGAAGCAGGCGCTTGAAATGCACTGGGATCAATATCCCAAAACACCCACTTTCAGCGACCGGCATGTACGCACCCTCGAATCGATGGTGGAGATGCTTCTAGCGGGGTGCGGCAACAAAGAGGGTGACGACACCTCCACGAGGACCCTCTCCGGCTTTTGCCACCGGTGCTGGGCAGCAGCACCTTTTTCCTTGCTCCTCGGGACGGCCTGAACAGCGCTGCGTGCCCAGCCCAGCTGTCGCCACGAGAGACTGCCCCCCCTCCTTCTTGGGTGCGCCGCAGAGGGGGGCCAGGAAGAGGCGGGCGCGCATCTGCGGGGACGAGGGGGAGCCATGGGCCAGGGGAAGCGTTGAAAGAAGCAGGATAAGATGCCACAATATCGGGGAGATCGTACAGCCCCAGCCATGCTGTCTGCTCCCTCTAATCCGCACCCCCGCCTTGGAAGCTCTCGACCCCTCCACCCCCACCGCTTTGCAGGCAATCAAGCAAAAAAAACGCCAGGCTGAGAACCAACGCGCACCCCCCGCGCTCTGCTCCCACTGCTACCCTGCCTGCCACCTCGGGGTCCGGGGAATCTGCGGCCACAGAGGTGGGTGAGGGGGTGTGGTTGGCTGGGGGCTTGGGGAGCAGAACTGGGGAGGCTAGAATGACCGTTACAGGCAGGCTTGTTGCCCCTAAAATTCAACTGTTTCGGTGAAGGGCTGGGCGCAGACTCATGGGAAACGAGTTTAGCAACGGTCTGACAAAATGAATATGTCAAATTTTTGTGGTAAGCAAATCATATCCCTGACCAGTCATTGGTAACGCCTGCGAAGTTCGAACCCGCACGCGCCCTGGAAAAGCCATTTCCGCAGAAGTCCCTTGAAAGGTATCCTGGCCCAGAACTGATGCTGACCAGTCCTGCGAGCTGGTTCACTGGGTCGAGTATAGGACCGCGAAGAGGATGGACCATACATCATACGCAGAGTGTCCTTGGAAATACTACCCATAGGCCAAAAGAAGTGGGTCGAAACACAAAGTAGGACGGCCTTGGACGCAGATTGAATCTCCGCCCGCCCCCTGAAGAGGAGATACATGGAACACCGCTCGACTCTTGAGATAGGAAGGCGCGCGCCCAATCTATATCTATATCTATAACTATATCTAGTTATATACATATACATATACACGTATATACATACATATATGTATTTATATTGAGATCTGTGAATCGAGAAATACCTACTTTCAACTACCGGTGGGTGCACGTCAACCTGGTCTCGAAATGTCTGTCGACGGCGGCAGAACCACACGCATAATGACCACCACCCGCAAACGAGGCCCCTGTAGCATCCGCGCACACTAAAACGAATCGCCACACTTCAGGGCTGAAAAAAGAACGTGCAGGGATGCTTAGCAAACGCGAGCTAAAATCATGGTGTTGGTTCTTCCTTGACTTTGGCACGACAAGTCCCTGCATAACAGTCTAGTGTAGGCTGCCCGCTGGGGCGCGGCGCCGTGGCGAACAATATGCCCACTCTGCACCTTCTGCAGCGGAAGCCGCGCCCTGCCTGGCGCTTCGGGCTTGGGCGGCGGAGGAGGGCGAAGGCAAGCCAGCCTTGCATCGCATCGAATCAGAACGTAATCGCATCGACTGGAATCGGATCGCTGCGAATCGCGAATCGAATCGCAAACGTGATGCGCGCTTTGCTTTGCCGGTGCCCTTCGAAGAGCACCTGCCCAAGCAGAGCGCGCATCACCCCTAGAGGATGAGGTGCTCGCAGACTTCCCCTGGATTGGCTCGCCGCAAGACTCTGCTTGGCAACACGCATATCAAAGACCTTCAACTTTGGCTGCGGCCGTTTGCGAATCCCTTGAGCAATATTGGGACATCAGGGGATGTCGACTCTGTGTGACACGCGCGGGCCCTCCGTCGGCATACGCCCTCAAGGTACCACGGACGAGCCAGCAAAGTGCACGAGCCAGCGAAATGCACGCTTGGAGCAAGAAGTCCTTACGCAAAAAAAGCCAGATGAAGCTCCGAAACCTTAAATTCATACTTCCATTGAGTCTGAACGTGATGCTCCCGTGCCCTTACGGTAGGAAGCGCGAAATCGTGGAAGGCATCGTACGGTTGAGACGCTGCCTACCGAAGCCGCCCTCCCGAAGAACAGCGGTACTATCTCTGGGGGGGGTACGCCGAGAAACAGTGGACAACATTCACGTCGAGGGCGGCCTGGGAAGCTGCTTCTGGCCCCCGAAGTGGTGCGCCGAAGAGGAGGAGTGCGTGAAGGTGCGCGGTCCCGGCGTGCCCCCTGAGGAAGATGGGGGGAGCCCACGAGGACAGGGCCTGGGCAGGAAGAGTGGCCCGAAGCCTCTCTGCACTCCACGACAGGGTCGGCCTCGGGGGTCCCACGACGCGCTGGCCACGCCTGTTCTGCCCAAGGACCCCCCCCAGGACTCGGCTCCCCGACCGCCTGCTGCAGCGGGGCGGGAGAGTTACGGGGAGGTGTTGCACGAGGGAGGCGGGGAAGAGGAAGGGCCACGAGGGACCAATGCGCACACAATTCATAGAGAGACATCCTGCTTGCACCTGCCCTTCAAGATCCTGCCCAGTGTGTACGCGCGTACGCTGCATGCGTTTTATCCAGCACAGATTCCCACAGTCAGAGCGTCTGGGTAGAACTCACACGTGCGCAGCCCGCCGGATCCAACTCGCGGCAAGAGACGCGCGCGAATCGCGGTCGGAGTTGCGTCGATCTGCAGGGAGCACCGCTCGCACATGCAAGTGAATCGCCAGTTCTGCAAGCCGGGGGCGGGCGCCGCCAGAGAAGCAAACATCTTTTGATAATCTATATGAGAGCCCAGCGGGAGATGCACGCGCGATGGTATGGATCGAGAATGGGAGTCGCAGCTAGCTCTGGAGAGCGCGAGAGAGATGAGACTAGAGAAAGAGAGATAGAGAGAGAGAGAGAGATAACGAGAGGGAGAGAGAGAGAGAGAGAGAACCGCATCGATACACATATATATATATATATATATATATATATATATATATATCGCCATATACCTACATATATATTCAGAGAGAGAGAGAGAGAGAGAGAGAGAGAGAGAGAGAGAGAGAAAGAGAGAGAGAGACAACAAACATAGAGACACACACAAGCTGAGGGTACGCACTTGTCTGTGCACGCTTGTGCATTCGCGCTAGCGTCTTACCCGAAGCAATGTTTGTACGTAGAGGCTCTCTCTGCAGCTCTGAGGATCTAGGTAAGGGGCACCGCTGGATTCCATGGTCTCTGTTCTTTCTAAGGTTCTGGGAATGATTCGTGGCAACAAAGGGCGCCATGGATTTAATTTGGGGTGTTGGGGGTTTCCCGTGGTCACAGATTGCGCCCATGGGGTTGCGCCATAGATTGCCTCTGGAATCCTTGGGATTTGTCCTGGCGGCCGTCGGTTACGCCTGCGCGTGGACTGCCCCCCTGGGTGTGAGGCATACCTCGCGGCCACGGGTTGTGCCCATGGGCTGCTTCGCACTGCCTGCGGTGCTGCGCCCCGCGTTGCCGTTCTTTGCGTTGCTCTGCGCTGTTTCGCAAGGAGGTGCTCAGCGTTGCATCGCAGTGCTACGCATTGCGGCGCGTCGCCCCCGCTGTTTCGTCATTTGGGGCTCACGCTGGAATCATCGCACTGCTCCGAAGCTGCCCAGGGGCGTCGACACCCAACCCTGGCAGGAGGGCGCCAACTATGCACCTACGTCGATCCTGGCCAGGTCCATCCTGGGTCCAGGATCAATGTATACGCCCTCTTGGCTTGGGCAGAAGGTATAGCGATCCTGGGGCCAAGGAATCTGCGTGTGCATAGAATCGGTGCCCTCCGACCCGGTCCACCGCCATGGCACTCTTCCATAACGTGAGCCCCCCACGTGGCCCCTAGCAACCCGAAGGCCTTCGCCAGCAAGTCTTAGAAGCGGGAGAAACGCTCCCCGACGAACGGGCCGCAACGCCGCAGCCCCCGCCCCAGGCCGCCCGCAAGCCACGGAGGGCGCGGGCGACCCGCGACCCCTGGGGGGCGCCCGGGCAGACCCCGAGGGTCGGGAAGGCCGGACGAGGCCCTCGCGGCGCCAGCAGCAGCCCGCCCACAGGCCACGAAGGGCGCGGGCGGCCCGCGACACCTGCGGGGGGCGCCGGGGCAGCCCCTGAAGGTTGGGGAGGTCGGACGAGGCCCTCTCGGCGCCACAGCAGCCCGCCCGCAGACCTCGAACGGCGCAGGCCTCGAAAGGCGCGGGCGGCGCCCAAGCGCCGCCAAGGGGTGGGCGGCTGGCCAAGCCTTCCGACCCTGTTCGGATGTGTTCATGACCCGTGGTATCCAGAGGGAGCACGGGTAGTTTACACGTGAACCCTATACTCAGAGCCAGTCTGGGGGAGGGGTAGAAAACCCTTGAGGGGGGATAGGCGGAGCAGAGCCCGAGAGGGCTGGCAGGAATACTGCACACACAACAGACCGATGCTGACGAGACGATATTTGCACCAGGGCGCGGGCCGAGGGGGAGTTCAACCCCAGAAATTCTTCAGAGAAAAAGAGAGCAGCTCAGCTGGCTGCATGAGCACAGCAATAAACCCAGGCCAGCTACCTGAGCCTTCGACCTGGGCCAAACCACAAAACTTTTTCGACCCCTCCCCAAAGGGAGGGTGCGGTGGGGCCGACTTGAGCCCAGAGGGGCAGAGGGGGACGGAGGGGGAAAGGGCGGCTAACAGACTACGACGGGTAGTGTAAAATAAAGTTCAAGAACAACTATTTACACGGGAACCCTATACTCAGAGCCAGTCTGGGGGAGGGGTAGAAAACCCTTGAGGGGGGATAGGCGGAGCAGAGCCCGAGAGGGCTGGCAGGAATACTGCAAACACAACAGACCGATGCAGACGAGACGATATTTGCACCAGGGCGCGGGCCGAGGGGGTGTTCAACCCCAGAAATTCTTCAGAGAAAAAGAGAGCAGCTCAGCTGGCTGCATGAGCACAGCAATAAACCCAGGCCAGCTACCTGAGCCTTCGACCTGGGCCAAACCACAAAACTTTTTCGACCCCTCCCAGCCGACCCTACTGGGCCACTGGCCAAAGGCCTTCAAAAGAAAAGACTGCCGAGCACGGGCGACACGGGTGGGTGGGAGAGCGAGGCAGATAACCTTACAGCTTTGCTTAAAACCTCACGGCCTCCCCCCAAGGAACCCCCTCTCCAGACTTGGCTCGATATCATTAGGTGGGGAGAGGGAGCTGCCTACGTCGCTCCGTACATTGCGACGGGGACCTCACGGCCACGGGCGCTCGCAAGAGCACCGACGATGCGTCTGCCGAGAGGCGTCCCCGCGCCTGGCCCTCTCACGACGGCGTCGTGCACCGCCTGGCGCGGGCGGCGCCAGAAGGCACAGCCCTGCTTGATCTGCGTGCCGTCCAGCTCGCTGAGCTTCTCCACCAGCGCGTGGCACTTGGTGTAGCGCTGAAGGCCGGCGGTGGAAGCCCAGCGGCCCCGCCTGCGCGCCGCCTCCAGGTCGCCGCTCAGCGCCACGAAGCGGGCCGCTGCCGCGTGGCGCATGCCGTGCGGCGGCCCCATGGTCTCCAGGCCCACCGCCTTCAGCGTCTTCATCCAGACCTTGCGGAAGCTCGGCTGGGTGAAGGGGAAGACCTGGTCATCAGGCTCCCGATCTTGGACCAGCACCTTCATCAAGAGCTTCGACAGTGGCCACTCCAGCACGGCACCCTGGTTGGCGCCCGTCTTGGTCTTCTGTCCCATCATGCGGTCGCCAAGCTTGAGGCCCACGCCGCCGTCGGGCGTGAAGCTGACATGCTTGGCCCGCAGCATGTCCCAGTCCTGCTCCCGAAGCCAGCCGTCCAGCTGCACGATGCAGGCACTCGCCTCCAGCAGGTGCCCCATCTCCAGCATCCTTGTGATGATCACCCCCATCGCCTGAAACGGGATCGGGTGGCCCTCGCCTCCGAACTGCATGCGTTCCCACGACTTCAGCGCACGGTGCGCTGTCGGGAGCCTCCCTCGATGATCCTCGAAGATATGCATGAAGCCATTGAAAGCGAGGGAGGCCTTCATGTAGTTGTCACCCCTCAGGTAGCAGAGGTCGCTAATGTCGTTCCCCAGCGCGCGGTCCCTCTGCTCCAGGGTCGTGAACGGCACCTCCCCGCGCTTGCAGTCGACGAGGAAGGCCCTGACCTCCCGCTCGTAGACGACGTTGGTGGAGTCGTCGACCGCGTGGACCACCAACCTGTTGTTCCACCGAGGGCGGTCCTGCTTGGCCTGCTGCCAGGCGCGTGCGCCGCGCTTCTGCAGCGGCGGTGCAGACACCCCCCTGCGGGCGCCACTGGCCACGTGCAGCGTCACCACCAGCACTACCCAGAGAGACATCCTGCCGCCGCTCCTCGTCGCCGAACCAGCGTCGCCGCCAGCGGCAGCCCAGCGCGAAGCCCTGCAGCTCCTTCCCGCAGTCGCCGTAGCTCCCGATGTGGCAGCAGTAGCGACCCACGTCGCCGAGGTAGACGCCCAAGGCCGCCACGTTCTCGCTTGGGAGGCCAAGGCCTCCCTGCTGAGAAGGTAGTCGAGCCCCAGACGCACCGCCAAGGTCCCGCGGGTCACCGCCGCCGTTCCAGCACCTGCAGCAGCGGCCGCACCGCCTTGGGCGTCGTCCTCATCCTGTGCGCCTGCTTCGTTTCGTCCGCTGCGCCGATGTCGACACCACGGCTCGGGCCGTCGGCCATATTCCACTGGCTGGGCACCCACCGGTAGTAACCTCTGATGCCCAATGCCAGCGCGATGCCACATGCCACTCGTGCCAACCTCAAAAGCGACGTCGCTGATGAACGACCCTTCTGCAGCACGCCCATGGAGACCACAGAGTCCGTCATGATCACCACTCGCTTGTGCCAGCATCTCGAAGATCTCGCCAGATGTCGCAGCACGCTCACTACGCACCGCAGCTCCAGCACATTGTTGTGTTCCTCCGCCTCCCAACGTCCCCTGAAGAGCTCGTACCACCTCGACTCGTCGACCCAGGAAGCGCCGATGGGCATCACCTGCCCCCTGCTCCGCACCACCCGCGGTCGACCCCGTCGCAGTCGCACCTGCGCCCCCTTTGGTACTTCGCTCCAGGTGTAGTCGAGCTGCTCTAACCTCGTGGCGTAGTGCTCCAGAAAGACGTCCCCATAGCTGACGGCGACGCCTGAGGTCAGCGGGAACTCGTCCCATAGCCCTCCGTTGTCCACGAGCCTCGCCAGGTTGGTCAGCACCACCAGCTCGCCCACCTCCAGGGAGAAAACGCCCTCCGTCTCGGCGAGCCTGTCCCAGGGTGCCCACTCCAGCATCTTCACCGCCACGGGTCCCAAGATAATGAAGCCTAAACCCTCGCGGACCGCGAGCCTGGCGACCTCGATGATCACCTGAGCAATGTAGTTGTCCTCGTCGACCTTGCGCTGCATACCCTCGCTGAGCCCTTCGTAACCCCAGGGCGTGCGCGAGTCCCTGTAGTAGTCGTCCGAGAAGGTGTCCAGGAACAAGGTGAGGTGGCAGATCCAGTACCACCGCCTCCGCAGTCGGCTGAAGAGCCGTTCCACCACCGTCACGTCCATCAACTCCCCCATGCGCACGTCCTCCATCCAAGCGCTCACCTGGTCCCCGAGGTCCCCCTTCAGGTCCAGCAAGCCCTGCTGCAGCGTAAGTATACCAGGACGTCCCTCGCTCGGGTGCATCATCTCGTCCTCCTCCAAGCCCTCCTTGCTCACCTCGTCCTCTATCTCCGCGTG